AGTGATACTCCACCTAATCCTTGTCTACTTTTTTCCAGCCCACCCAATACTGTAGCAGAAGGTGAAAGTGAATCTCTCAAATGTGGGCACAGATAGCAGTAACCCTTCCACAAGCCACCCAAAAGTAGTAAAAAAAAGTTTTAGCTGGGATCCATTAGCTCTAGGGAGGCCCTTTCTGCTACTTTCTATCATTGTCACTATTGTCTCCAAATTTAACTGAAGTCCTGGGGATTCTCCACAGAAGTAGCAACAAGCCTTCTTCACTTCTCTCTCTCTAGCTAGGATGAGTTTTGTCACCAACTTTTTAGGCCAGAGATGAATTGCAGTAATGTATTGCAAAAGATGATGCATCCTTTTATTTTTCTGTTTGGTGCATTAGACAGCCAATAAAAATGAACAAGCGGCCTTAATGCAACCCACATTAATGCATGACAATGTGTGTACATGCATTGTACACAACGCACAATTTAACCACTAGCCTACCGGGCACTTTTACCCCCTTCCTGCCCAGGCCAATTTTCAGCTTTCAGTGCTGCCGCACTTTGAATGACAATTGTGCGGCCATGCAACACTGTACCCATTTTTTATAATTTTGTCTTCACACATATAGAGCTTTCTTTTGGCGGTATTTAATCACAACTGCTTTTATTCTTTGCTAAACAAATGAAAAAAGACCGAAAAATTAAAAAAAAAAATAGTTTTTCTTCGTTTCTATTATAAAATTTAGCAAACAGGTAATTTTTCTCCTTCAGCGATGTGTGTTGATGAAGCTGCACTGATGGGCACAGATAGGCAGCACTGATGGGCACTGATAGGCTGCACTGATGCGGCGGCACAGGTGGGCATTGATGAGGAGGCACTGATGAGGCTTCACTGAAATGCGGCACTGATAGGCGGCAATGATGGGCATTGATGAGGAGGCACTGTGGCACTGATAGGTGGTACTGACTGGCGGAACTGATAGGGGGAACTGACGGGCACACATTGGCAGCACTGATGAGAACTGATTGGCATTTATTGGCAGCACTGATGGGCACTTTTGGGGCTGCACTGATAATGAGGGCACTGATAATCAGTGCCCTAATTATCATTGTAGATGTCTCCTTTAACACTTGCCAGTTGTCTGCAGTACTTTCCTCGTGCTGTGACAGCATGAGGAAAGTACTGCCGATAACCAGCAAATGTGTTTTCAACGTGATAAGCTGTGATTGGACACAGTGGATGACATGGTAAAAGGCCTCTGTTATTGGCCCTTTACTGTGTCATGTAAAGGGCCAATCACAGAGAGCAATCACACAATCAGAGAACGCTGGGTGCACGCCACAGGGGGTGTGGTTCTGGGAGAACATCATATGATGCCCTCCCAGAACTGGACGACTGAGCTGTAGCTGTCATTCACATATAGCGTGGTCAGCAAGTGGTTAAATATGTCCTTAAACCATACAATTAAAATATTGTAGTTTACTAGTCCTGGTGATCCTGCTAGTAACATACAGGAGAAACTCAAAAAATTAGACTATCGTGCAAAAGTTCATTTATTTCAGTAATGCAACTTAAAAGGTGAAACTAATATATGAGATAGACTCATTACATGCAAAGCAAGATAGTTCAAGCCGTGATTTGTCATAATTGTGATGTTTATGGCTTACAGCTCATGAAAACCCTAAATCCACAATCTCAGAAAATTTGAATATTGTGAAAAGGTGCAATATTCTCGGCTCAAAGTGTCCCACTCTAGTCAGCTAATTAAGCCATAACACCTGCAAAGGGTTCCCGAGCCTTTAAATGGTCTCTCAGTCTGGTTCAGTAGGAATCACAATCATGGAAAAGACTGCTTACCTGACAGTTGTGCAGAAAACCATCATTGACACCCTCCATAAGGAGGGAAAGCCTCAAAAGGTAATTGCAAAAGAAGTTGGATGTTCCCAAAGTGCTGTATCAAAGCACATTAATAGAAAGTTATGTGGAAGGGAAAAGTGTGGAAGAAAAAGGTGCACAAGCAGTAGGGATGACCGCAGCCTGGAGAGGATTGTCAGGAAAAGGCCATTCAAAAGTGTTGGGGACTTTCACAAGGAGTGGACTGAGGCTGGAGTCAGTGCATCAAGAGCCACCACACACAGATGGATCCTGGACATGGGCTTCAAATTTCGTATTCCTTTTGTCAAGCTGCTCCTGAACAACAAACAACGTCAGAAGCGTCTTACCTGGGCTAAAGAAAAACAGACCTGGTCTGTTGCTCAGTGGTCCAAAGTCCTTTTTTCTGATGAGAGCAACTTTTGCATCTTATTTGGAAACCAAGGACCCAGAGTATGGAGGAAGAATGGAGAGGCACACACTGCAAGATGCTTGAAGTCCAGTGTGAAGTTTCCACAGTCTGTGTTGATTTGGGGAGCCATGTCATCTGCTGGTGTTGGTCCACTGTGCTTCATTAAGTCCAGGGTCAGCGCAGCCATCTACCAGGAGATTTTGGAGCACTTCATGCTTCCTTCCGCAGACGAGCTTTATGGGGATGCTGACTTCATTTTCCAGCAGGACTTGGCACCTGCCCACACTGCCAAAAGCAAGCACCAAAACCTGGTTCAATGACCGTGGGATTACTGTGCTTGATTGGCCAGCAGACTCGCCTGACCTGAACCCCATAGAGAATCTATAGGGCATTGCCAAGAGAAAGATGAGAGACATAAGAGCGAACAATGCAGAAGAGCTGAAGGCCGCTATTGAAGCATTCTGGTCTTCCATAACACCTCAGCAGTGCCACAGGCTGATAGCTTCCATGCCACGCCGCATTGAGGCAGTAATTGCTGCAAAAGGGCCCAAACCAAGTACTGAGTACATATGCATGCTTCTACTTTTCAGAGGTCCGATATTGTTCTATGTACAATCCTTGTTTTATTGATTGCATGTAATATTCTAATTTTCTGATATTGTGGATTTGGGGTTTTCATGAGCTGTAAGCCATAATCATCACAATTATGACAAATCACGGCTTGAACTATCTTGCTTTGCATGTAATGAGTCTATCTCATATATTAGTTTCACCTTTTAGTTGCATTACTGAAATAAATGAACTTTTGCACGATATTATTCTAATTTTTCGAGTTTCACCTGTACTTCCTGCCCTAGGGTTAGCAACGTTCAGTCACTGTATTGTTTTAATGAAGCAGCAGCATTGTCACCTAGGACGGGATGGGTTTTAGGACTATATAACTCTATAACAAAGGAGAGTGTTCTGTAGTCCACAGAATTGAATTGCAAAGGTTGATTACATTGCTTAAAATCTCAAATTACAAAGCAAACAATGAATGGTAGTTGCCAAAACACCTATTTTCAGCAAAGGTGGCAATGAAAGTTGAAAATAGTACTCGTGTTGCCATAAATTAATGATAGTTTTTGCACAAAACAATTGAAGCTTAGTAAATTTGGCCTTATACGCCTTATACAAATATACTTCATATGTGTAATAAATATGAAGGGGCCCTATTTTCACCCTGGTCCTGTGGCTTTAATTGTTTCTCTGTAAGGAGTAAATGTTTATTTAGGCTATTTTACCTTTTTCTAGTCTACCTTTTTTAGCCACGTGAGTCAGGATATACATTTTCTGCTAAGTATAATGAATTTATCAATATGTAGAATTTCCACCAGTGACATCAGCGATTTTGCCTTGTTTTTCAGTTACCCTCTGCTTGTCCTTCATGTGTTGTAATGTCCTTCAGGCCTTCCAGCTGGAGTGCGTCTGCAGGCAATAAGTGTGTGTATAGCGTATCCACCCCATCTGATAGCACTCTCCTTTAACAGCCCCAGTGTGATCTGCTTTCATCATGTTAAATTAAAGCCAAACCAGTCCATTTATCCAATTTACATACAATTGCATACATAAGCATGTTGTCTCGTCATCTCTGCAGCAGATGTGAAGATCTTGTATTTGGAGCCTGCAGAGCCGCGCTCGTCAACTTGTCCACTGTAAAAGAGTAATAAAATAACCACTGCATAAAATACAAAATGATAATGATGTGTATTGCAGATACAGTTAGTGTTTAATTGCTTTATTATATATGCTAATCTGTGGAAGTATTGTACAAGTAGTTATCCTCTACCAACATGTTGCAGCAACTTAAAGTACACTATATTGCCAAACGTATTGGGACACCTGCCTTTCCATGCACATGAACTTTAAAGCGGAGTTCCAGCCATTTTTGTGTTTATTAAAAGTCAGCAGCTACAAAAACTGTAGCTGCTGACTTTTAATAAACACACACTTACCTGTCCCGGAGTCCAGCGATGTACTCACCTGCGCAGTCCCTTCTCTCCTTCTGTCCTCCATGGCGCAGCATCTCTACTGTGGGCAGCAGGTTGTGACAGCTTGCGGCTTCACAGCCTGGTGCCCACTGCGCATTGCGTGAGTCCTGCCGCACCTCCTGATTGTTCCAGCAGTCTTCTGCGACCTGTGAAAGTTCCCAGGATACTGTGGGAGCAAGGAGGGGGCTAAACTTCCAATTCACTTTGCCACGGTGAACTGAGCCGGAAGTGGGAGTGGGTACCTGTCAAAACCAGGTACCTGCTCCCCCCAAAAGGTGCCAAATACTGTATGGCAGTGGAGGGGGGGAGGAGGCAATTAAGCAGAGCTTCCACTTTGAGTGGCACTCCACTTTAATGGCATTCCAGTCTTAGTCTGTAGGGTTCAATATTGAGTTGGCCCACGTTTTGCAGCTATAACAGCCTTAATTATTCTGGAAAGGCTGTCCACAAGATTTAGGAGTGTGACTATGGGAACGTTTGACCATTCTTCCAGATGCCCATTTGTGAGTTCAGGCACTGATGCCGGACTAGAAGGCCTGGCTTGCAGTCTCTGCTCTAATTCATCCCAATGGTGTTCTATCGGGTTAAGGTCAGGACTTTGTGCAGGCCAGTCAAGTTCCTCCACCCCACACTCGCTCATCCATGTCTTTATGGACCTTGCTTTGTGCACTGGTGTGCAGTCATGTTGGAACAGGAAGGGGCCATCTCCAAGCTGTTCCCACAAAGCTGACGCCTTAAGAGTTCCCTTCACTGGAACTAAAGGGCCAAGCTCATCCCCTAAAAAACAACCCCACAACATAATGCCCCCTCCATCAAACTTTACACTTGGCACAATGCAGTCAGACAAGTACCGTTCTCCTGGCAACCGCCAAACCCAGACATGTCCATCAGATTGCCAGACAGAGAAGCGTGATTTGTCACTGCAGAGAACACATCTCCATTGCTTTAGGGTCCAGTGGTGGCGTGCTTTACACCACTGCATCCAACACTTTGCACTGGTAATGTAAGGCTTGAATGCAGCTGCTCAGCCATGGAAACCCATTCCATGAAGCTCTCTACACACTGTTGTACTAATCTGAAGGCCACATGAAGTTTGGAGGTCTTTAGCTATTGACTCTGCAGACAGTTGGCGACTTCTGCACACTGTGTGCTTCAGCATGCGCTGACCTCGCTCTATCATTTTACGTTGTTCCCAGTTGTTTCCACTTTGTTATAATACCACTAACAGTTGACTGTGGGATATTTAGTAGCAAGGAAATTTCACAGATGGACTCATTGCACAGGTGACAACCTATCCCAGTACCACGCTTGAATTCACTGAGCTCCTGAGAGCGACCCATTCTTTCACAAATGTTTGTAGAAGCAGTCTGCATGCCTAGGTGCTTGATTATATACACCTGTGGCCATGGAGGTGATTGGAACACCTGAATCCAATGATTTGGAGGGCTGTCCCAATACTTTTGGCAGTATAGTATACATGTAAATCAGAATTATATACTTCTCCTATTTGCCTCATTTAGTTTAATTATACTGTACAATTGAAAGAGTTTTGTTATATCTGTTCATAAGTGCACAAATACCACTGCTACACTGAAATATCAAGCAGTGATATTGAAGTATCAACCCTGTCAGAAACTACAGAATGCCCCCCCCCCCCCATGTGTTGGAGAGAGCAGATGTTTTGTAGTCCAAATCAGGAACAAGCAGCCTAGGATGACAATGCTGCATAGCACTGATAGATGTGTGGCATTCACTGTTTGTGTCTCTGGAGGAACTGCAGACCTGTGCATAGTGGAAGTTGCCCTTAGAGATCTCATGCTATTTCTTTCTGTGAAACCACAGCAGCAGGTCTTGGTGCCCTTATCAAATAAGAAACTTAATTTACTCAGTACAGAAAATGAGAATCCAGTACACTCCTTGAATATCACTGTTTTTTTACTATATCAAAAGTAGGCAAAGGCTAATAATAATTAAAACCATCCAGTCAACAACCATTTCTCATGCAAAAAGCTCACTTTCTCAAGGCACTTGGATCTACTTTACAAGATGGTATGGATGGTTTTATTGTTTTTAATGTAGCACACCCCCAAAAGAGCCACTGTTTTCTCCCCTTAGAATGCACACAGCCAGGCACACAGTATTTCCTGCACTCTTCCACTGGCTCCAAAAAACGGTCAAGGGGTTTCTTTTTGTGCTTTTATTGAGAACGTTGAACTGGGTTGAGGAAAAGGAGCATGGGACACCCTCAAAACTGTAAAACTGGATAAATATAGGACACCTAAACTTCTGTCTGCATTTCATAGAACTGCTGGCTGCACTTCACAGAACGGTTGTCTGCTCTTCAGATACTGAATGTCCCACAGGATCTCTATGCTGCCAGTGACCTGTAGTCCTTCTAAGGTTTAAAAGCTACACACAGTTACTAACTCTTCAGCAATAGGGTTGCTTACTCACTTAGCCACAGTATCATTGATTGCCTCCTGCCAATATCCACCAGGCTCTTCATAGTGAGGGACATGTAGACTCACACCACCATAGGACAGCTGGACTCTTCCCACCAACTTCCTTCTGGCTCTCTCCAGTGAGCTTTTCCAGAACCCATTTTATCCTTAGTTCTCAGCCTGCGAATAGACTCCCCAGCTAAGCCTAGCTAAGACTTCGGTGTCTTCCTGACAGATTCTCCCAGAAAACTTCCCCAGGGGTCTCCTCTAGCAGGACTGGACCCAGGAACACTTTACCGTACTACCTAGGCCTCGGACTATTTATGGTTTCTCTTGCCACCTTCTGGACACCTCCTCAGGTATTACCTAGAGTTACATAAATATTCAGGTTGCTCACTCTGTCTTTCCTCGCACTATGGTTCTAGAACCCTCTAAAAGACAGGGGGAAGTAAGAGAGCAGCATCCTGTGAAACACTGAGCAGCCTTAATTAACCAACTCCCTGCTCCTTTGATTACAGAGGAGCTAACTAAATTTATTTAGCAGCCTACACTACACTAGGAGGGTGTTACATCAGACTTTGCTTACTTTTGATACAATAAAAAGGAGTGATATGCCTTCGGTGTTCTGGATTCTCATTTTCTGGACTGAGTAAATTATGCTGACAATGCTGCTCCTCCATAGAGTACAGTAAGTAATCATTGTTGCCCTTGGGCAGAAAGTTTGTTATTGGCAGGGTCATCAACTGAAAGCACAACATTAAAACTTGGATTTTATGAATGGTATGTAAAATGCAGGCCACAGTGTAGAGTAAACACTCCAGTGTCCAGCAGAAAGTGATATTTGCTCTCTGCTATAAATAGGCCCTGTTACTTGGTATTAGCCAGGAGCTGCGATTATGGTGCCCTGAATACTGACAATGTAATGGGACAGTGAGACTAGGTTTACACTTAAGCTGCTCTGCGAACTGCGTTTCCACAGACTTGGCAGCCCATTCATGTGAATGGGCTGCTGTGCCTTCGTTTCATGAAGGAAAAAGGTTCCTGCACTTTTTTAAATGCACCATGCGCTTTCCCACATTTTTTAGATGCGTGTGTGTGTGCTGTTAATGAATGGCAGCTCCAGGTGTCTGCAAAAGAGCAGCACGTTTTGCCTGTGGGTAGATGCAGGAGGTAGAAAAAGTGAGACTTACACTCTGTCCTGCACCTAAAACCACCCACACAAGTTTAAACTTGGCTTGAGGGAATTCTGTTTCCACCTGCTGTCATCCATGCTATCCAGTGTCACCTTCAACAATGTGCAGCGTAAATGGTTGGTTAGGGAGCACCCAATATATAGTATGTGTGCAAACCAATGTTGGTCCCTAAAGTACAATCTGAGAAAGACTGATTTGAAAAGTGTTTTTCACCTGCTTCATTGCTAGTCTAAAAGGTGATTGCCTTTTGATTTAGAACTATTTCCTTGCACATCTAACTATACACTTTTTCGAAGTTGTTAAATTGCCATTTTTGTGCAGCTTTTGAAATCATTACCATTTTCCATTCCTGATGACAACTACGCTGGAAAAGGGGAAAAAATGGTGTCCAGAAAATTCAGACATGGTTCTTGTAAATGCTCATTTAGTAAAAATTGTGTTTTATAATTTAGTATCTTGAAAAAGAATACTTGAATATAAAGCTTCTTTTTCCACTCAGAAGACAAAGGTATTGGCAAAAGGATGAACATCTCATGATTTGATGAGGATGTCAGAAGGAATGTCTGGGTTAACCAGCTTGTTACACTTTTATTGATGCACCATTCACCCGGTTTTGGCACTCCTATTATGGAGAACTGTAAGCTTATACAGACATTTATTTTTGTGGTTGTCCTTTAAAGCGAACATACCATGAACACATTTGGCATTCAAGGTGTCCAGTATTTTAGAGCTTCAGGGCACAGAGAGTCATAGAAGCTCATACTAGATTCTGAGGAACATCTGTAAATCCATGAGGGGGTTTGACACTTAATCAGTTACGTTTTTGTTTTCACAAGCATGCTCTTTTATTGTTAGCCATAAATCTTGCAGATTGAAAAGCTGTTTTTTTTCCATGGAGCTGCTTGCAATTATTCCCCTGACACTTTGAATCATTTTATCTAGCCGTATTTTCCATATTATGGGTGATGTCTGGTGAGAGCTTATCCTGCCAGTGATTTCATGCCTGCTACCATTTCAGACAAGAGGAAATGTACCCAAACAATACTTCCCATATGATGGGTTCAAAGCATTTCCTGTTGATTTCAACACTTAGATGATGCAGAGATTATATGTACAATGAGGAAATTCGACTTTTAATTGACATTCCCAAAAGCAATACCATCTGAAAGGTTGACATTGGACAGACGTTTTTCTATATAGCCTCAACAACCCAAGTAGGAATAGCCTTACACACATAGGTTTCTTTGGTTCAGCTCACAGGCTGAATGAGAGAAAATTAATGGAGTCCTCAATCTACACTAAACAGCATGGATGGAGGGACCTCCCTTGCCAGCTTCTGTTTTCAGTCAAACATGACACCTGCGGCTTCCTGAATGCCCAAACTGACTGCATTTCATAGGAAGTATTTATTTGTAGGTTGGAATGTTTCCATCTGGCAGATTAGATTCTTAGATAGACTATTGGCGAGCCAGATGGTGCCTACAGGACCACTCACGGCTCAAATTTTGGCCAAATTCAAGTCGAGTATGGCTGGCTTAAGACCAAGACATTGCAGTTTATAGTTAGTTGAGCCAAAAGGAACCAAATTAGCCATCCACTAAACCAATTCAGAACACAGAAGAGTCTTTCTGGAAGAGAAGGTCCAGAAAGGTCCAGAAATATTTCACAAATAGCCAAAAACAAGGAGTTGATTCTTCATTTTAGGATAGCTGGCAGAACCATAAAAATCATTCCTTTTTGCTCTTTGGGCAACTGTACTTCCAGAATGGCTGGTTTTTAGTACAGATACAGTGTAATATTATAGAGAAATGTGTTTCAAACTGCATATGGCTGTTTCATACTTGTTAGCCATCATTGGTGCAGTACACAAGGTATAACCCAATAGGTTATGATGAGGTAGGCCAAAACAAACCAAAAAGCTTTCTACTGAACCAGTGTGATGTAAAATAGAAGATATCTATTTCCATCACTGATCTTTGATATGGAGTTTTCTGAGAAGTTTTCTATGTGCTTTCTGTTTTAAGAGGGCTCTGTTGTGCTTTGAGCTAGGTCATGGAAAGGCAGTTATCTCTTAGAACTTTGGGTGGTTAGATCTCTGCCCCTACTTACATGACTTTATTTTTATTATTTATTTATTACAGGTACTTATATAGCGCCGTCAATTTACACAGCGCTTTACATATATATTGTACATTCACATCAGTCCCTAACCCTCAAGGGGTGTACAATCTAAGGTCCCTAACTTACATTCATGTATACACATACTGGGGTCAATTTAGACAGGATCCAATTAACCTACCACCATGTCTTTGGAGTGGAGTGTGGGAGGAAACCGGAGTACCTGGAAGAAACCCGTGCAGGCACAGAGAGAACATTCAAACTCCAGGCAGGTGGTGCCATGGTTGGGATTCGAACCAACAACCCTAGTACTGCCAGGTGAAAGTGCTTACTTACTGTATCACTGGAATATATTGCCATACCTGTCCAATAGTAATGTGACAAACGTGTTACTTTGTGTAGCCAGCCTGCTTGGCATAGACAGAGAGATATATAGGACACTGTGCAGCAGTGTTCTCTCTGCTCCCAATAGACATCAGCTGAATGGGTTAAGGCTACCTCGCCTTCATTCACCAGGGGAAACTGACAAGCATAAGGAGCTCAAGAGTCTTGATGGTTGGCAGCATTGAATCATGGGAGATGAAGTTCAGGAAAGAAATTTACTATGGCAGGTAATGGACCATTGGACTACAATTCCCAATGCCAGTCGAGTACAAGAGGAGAAAGAGCTGTGTTTTCACAGGCTGAATACTGTTGCTGCAA